GCTATAGGGGCAATAATGCTCGTTGAGGTCTTCTCCCGAGTGTTACAGTGGAGTCACAGATATTTTCTTCTAATTGCTCCTACCCCACATGGCATTCATTTTATTACATGCCCCACCTGTGGGGCATGGTCTCAGCTCGCCCAGAAATGTCGCCGCCCAGAACAAAATTGAGCAAGCGGATTATTCACTATTACCCATTGTTATAGTGCCATTAACAAAAAAAAAATGTAATCCCTCAGGCGGAAATTAAAGGTAAAAATTTAGTTCAACAGTCAAAACACGTCCATTTTACATACGAGCCATGTGATAACTGCTGAAACCCTACCAATCTTCGGTTTCCAGTAGTCGGGCCCATGGTCCCGTCATCGTGGGCTTTATATGGAACGATACTTCAAAGGCGGGCGATTTTTTTAGCACCTATCGCCTTGTTTCACAGGATTCAAACTAGCATTTTCATCGTGTTTTTTTTATACAATAATCAACAAATGGCACATGTGTATATCTGAAAGGTGAGACACTGTTTACGACACAGATGGTGCTAGCTGGCGGCTCCAGTGCCCAATGACCTGGCCGAGCGGCTGCCAGTGGCTGCGAGCGGTGCACTTAAGTGGCGTGCTGCGCCACCTGGCGGGCCTTGGAGCGCCGGCCGGCCCTCTCTGAGCGCGCAGAGCGCACCTGGCACCGGTAGAGGTCGTCGGTGCGCAGCCGCGGCGCCTGCCGATAGAAGGACGGCAGGGCGCCCAGCTTGTGCTCGGTGGGCACCCAGTCAAAGCTCCACACCTTTTGGCGCATCCAGGAGGGCGGCCCGTACACGGCCGGGGGCGCCGGTGACCAGTGTGGCTCCAGCGGCTCTGTCGGGTGACGGCCGGCAGCTCGCGCCGATCGCGCCGCCTGCCGCCGCCGCCTCTGGCGAGCTCGCCGCCGCCGCTGCCCAGCCCGGGCTCCGGCCACCACCACTCCGACGCGGCCCTTCCGGCCCGGCTGAGGCGGTCGCTGACGGGCCCGCGGCGCACCGGCCGAGTCAGAGGCGTCAGACAGGTCACTCTCGTCGTTATCCGAGCTAGCTGCGCTAGCCTGGCTGACAGAATCGATACGTCGCCTTCTATTCTTACCGGGAGCACTGGGACCTGTGCTTCTGTTTGTTCCATAAGCAGGCGCATTTTGTGGATTGATTTTCGCGTTGGGATTAGTTGCTGGGTTAGAAACCTTCTTCTTTTGGGCCTGCTGGTGGGTTTCAGTAACGCTTTTGGCCTGGCTGGATAGCCGTTCTGGGCCACTTTTGTCCTTTGCAATGGCAGGGGAAATGCTCTTACGACGGTCATCATTTCTGTCTGATGGCGGAACAGTAGCGAGCGGAGCCCTAACGGTAGCTCCGCCGGTCGGAGGGTGGCTTCTCCTCTTGTTCTCGGCTGCCACTGGGTTGTCTTTACCAGCTTTTGCCGGTCTGTCGGAGTCAATGCGCCTGCGAGCTCCCGGGCCCGAGCGGACACCAGCCGGATCCACTGGGACACTCGTTTGGCGGCCGGCAGCAGCACGGCGTCTCGGTGGACCCGGAGATACCTCGGAGGGCCTCCGTGGGAGAGTGGAAACAACCACGTCCGCGTCGTCGTCCGAGGTGGGCGGTGCAGGGCGGGCTGCCCGCCCGGGCGCCAGTGATGCATCGCTGACGCGCCTCCCGCGGCCTACTGGGGCCGGCGAGAGGCGCTGGGGTGCCGTCCGCACTGCCACCGGCTTTTGGGCTGCAGCTGGGCTCGGGTGTCGTGCGTGGTTACTTTGAGTTAGACTTACTCTGCTTGCTTGATATCTGGGATGGTCATTAGGACTGGCATTACGAGAACGATCCTTTTTACCCTGCATATCTCTATCCCGACCCACTTGTTTGACTGGTTCCTTTTCTAATTCCTGAGACCCCTTTCTGGATGGTACTTGCCGTTCCACGTCCACCGGACTGCCACTTCCCGGTGTCGACGCCTTCCGCTCCCGGGCCGATGCCAGCGACCTCAGCGATTTCAGCGACGGTGACCTGACGCGCGTGATCTGCAGACCGTTCTCGCTGTGAATCAGCTGCGGCTGCTCCGGCGGCTCGGCAGCGGGCGCCTCGGCCTCCCTCGGCACGTTGGGGTCATCGGTCCAGGACGTGTCCGCTGCTGAGTCGCCCTTGTCACCTTCCCCAGCTTCCACCGTCTCGCCCTCGCCGCATGCCCCACCCTCCCTCGGCTCACCCTCCCCATCCTCCTCGGGCGTCTCCTGTAGGCTCCGCCTTCGCGAGCTGCGCTCCACCACCGCCGAAAGGCCGGCCGTCGCCAGCGGCTCTACCTTGGTCTGCCTCTGGGTGAACTGCCGCAGGTGGTTGCGCAGCTTATCGTTCATTCGCAGCCGGCCCCACAGCATCTGTCCATACGTGAGTTTCTTCTTCTGCGCCTCGGCGGCGTGTTTTTGTTTGAGCTGGGCTGCGATGGCGGCCAGCTCGGGGTCACGTCGCTCCACGTCCTCCCCAATCGCCTCCACGCGTGTGACGATGTTCTGCTCGCGGCGGCGCACCTTGAGCCACTCGGAGAGCGGCACTCCGAGCGCGGCGTGCTCGGAGTCGGTGCGCCGCGTCTGCTCCACGGCGCCGTCCCCGAGAAAGGTTCGAGGTTTGATGAGGCTGGCGCGTCGGCTGGTGCCCACCCGCGGTGAGAGAGACTGGGCGGGAGAGACCGAGGGCGCTGCTGAGGGCGCCGCTGAGGGCGTCCCCGAGCGCGCCGCCGACCCGCCGCCCGCCATCACTGCGGGCTCAGTCCGCCCAGTGGGCAAGCCGGCTGTAGTGCACTCTCCCAATATTTCGCGAGTCTCTGGAGCGTAAAACCTTCCAGCAGCCTCCAATGCAGACTCAGCTCTACCGAGTTAACTTCAAAACGGCATGCCCTCCGACCGGTGACGTCCCTCCTGGTTCGTCTTCCCGTGCAGTCCGCCGAGCCGCCCTCCTCTGAACGGTGCGCCGCTCGCGGAGGAGCGGAAGCCCGACCTGAACCGATCGGCGGCCAGCACCAGAATCGATGCCCACTCCTGTGGTCCCTCTGACAGTCCGCGATGGGTTACAGACTGTTACCGAGCTACCGCCGGGCCGCCATGGCAGCGGCGGGTCAACAGGCAGCGTGCGCACAACGCAGCGCTGCAGGTGGTCGGACGCGCCGACGGTGCAATTTATAGCCGATCAGATTAGGGCGAGGTCGACGATAGGTGACACAATGACCCTGGATGGCAGTCATGGTTCTCACAACACGGCACACGGCACACTCGTAGGCGGTGTCCATTACATTAATGAAAATTAAATCATTACCTGCAGGGGTAAGCGGTGACATAAAATGTCTTGCAGACGCCAGCTGACCTTACATTATGCAAAATACTTAAGCACCAGTGTCATTCACCTGAACCCTTCCTTATGAGTCCAATATTGAGCATCTAATACGTCCAATGCCGTTCAAAATTGGATAAGTGCAATGCGCCCGATCAACAGACCTCCATAGACGACTCTAGAGGGTCATTACTTAAATGGTTTTCCACGAGTATCCTGATGCCTGCCGGACCACCTGTTTGCTGAACTGTATATTGGCGTCGTCTGGGTGACGGACCGATGCTAGTCGTCATTGGGCGAGTCACTGTGGGTGGGCGACGAGGGTCGTCCGCCGTGGACACCCGGTTTTTCAGTCTGGTGCAGCGGTAAATACGGCACCACAGAGGCAATAAGACGGCGCCAGACAGACAGAAGACGGAGCACCTGCTGACGAACGATATACCTAGCCGATTCCGACACCCACTCATAGTGGAAATAGCCGTCATGTCAGTTGAATGGCATGTCTTTCGGCTGACAGTGGCTGCATAACCGAATGGCTTTTCCATTCGGTTATTTTCAAGCAGCGATGAAGCTAAAGTTGAGTACCTTCTGAGAACCAATAACACTTCTTTCGCGCGAAAGGGACGAGAATTATTCGTTGCTAATAACAGCAACTTCGCCCTGCAGACAAGTCCTTCCATGGAAACCATAGTTCGTCGAGGAATTTGTAAATAAACTAATATAGAAGCCGTTTCACGATAGGAAAACTGTGTGAAGACGGGTGATTCATCTACTCGTATTTCCTATTGACGAACAACTATCAGCCTTTTGATAATTGACGACTTCCCCTCTAGGCACCACCGCGCCGTGGAGAGACTTTTCAGTTGGTGGCCGTAACCAAGAAGAGCTATCTTTACGGACGGTCATCTAATCAGGCTGCCTATGTATAGGCATGGAGGATCAATGCTTATAGGGCCTATTCCCAATGCACCCTGGAGAGTTGCCACAACCACGGGTTACCAATAGGGCTGACCTTGAACTGATCCACGCGGTAGGCGGCCCAAAAGGCCAACTACCCAGGCGATCTGTCTAATAGGGCCGACCACACAAGTGGTTGCCTATTAGATCCGGCCACCGGGCCCGAGCGGACAACATTAATCAACGCACGCACGGTGAGATCAATGTTACTCGGGTAACAAAATCCACCGAACGCAGCGTGCATGCGCCGCGGTCAAATCGCCAGCTATTACTCTATATTCTGTTTGTGCATAGAGCCGACGGGAGGTTCAGTGGACCTAAAGAAATCGGTGTGACATATTGTTATGCCTGCAAATGCCACTCGATAGCCGTAACATTATTCACGGCAAATAAAAGGTCTGGCAACGCTGGACGTATAAAAAAAACATGCGTAAGCCTGCCTGCGGCCGCCTAGCTGTCTGTCTGCGAAGAACATCGAAGGTTCAATTGCAAAGCGGAGGTATGGTGGTTGTGTTTCAATCCTCATAAACAAGCACTACGCTGGACAAAAGAAATACAATGTATCTGATCAGCAGCCCTGAGCGCCGTGGTCCCGGACGGGCAAAGTACGTATACCGCTAATCAGCACCATTAGAACCTATCAGATCTTATCGTTGGATTACGGCCGACATCAGCAATCGCCTCGGCGCTCAGCGCGAGTGACGCGGTCTGCCCACCGTCTCCGGATGCCCTATCTGGCGCCGTGAGCCGTCATCCTGCTATCAGTTCGTGCCGCTATCGGAACACCTTCTGTTCGCCAACTGCCTCATAGAACGGCGAGTGGCGAGCGGGCTGCGCTCTTGAGGACACAAGTGTTTGTGGAGGCGAGAGAAAGGCAGCGGTGTCGGGGAGCACCGATTGAGGACCGACGGACGGCCGAGCGGCCGACAGATTCGACCGACCCGCCGAGCGACCTGCAGACAGGAGGCTCTGACCCATCGACGGGACACCACTGACCCAAGATGCAGCGTTTGACGCTGCTAGTGGTGGCTCTGATGGCTGCATCGCCAGCCCGGGCCGACAACCTCGGTAAGTATGTGACCAGCTACCGGGGACTGACGCGGCATTCGCTGTATTTCCTAATTTTGGTGTGAGGCTGAGGTGGCGCCCGATCCGTGTATTCGGCTCGAAGCATCGAGCCATCGAGCTCGATGCCCTCTACTCTTCGAATCACCTCGGGTGACAAGTAACAGCAACAGCTCCGCGAGGCTGGCATGCCAAAGGACAGCCTTGGCATCTTTAGGTAAAAGCAAGGCCCTATATGCCGGTAAAAGTGCCTGCACTCTAGGAAAAAGAAGTTTCACATCTCGCTCTGAAAATATTTCCGTCATACTATATTGATGTGTGCCACTGAGTGTATGCCTATCGAAGCTGCACTTAACTCCAATTGAACCTCAGTCGTAACTTGAGTCGTTCTAAATCGAAACCGTGACTCTGCATTCGGCAAAGAGGGTGATGCGCGCGGATCGGTGACCAGCTAGCCAGAAATGTTTCGGTAAACTAGCACAGTTCGAACATCACCTTAGTCATCAATGACGAGTTGAAATCTGTTCCTTTGTGGTACAATGTGCTCAACGGAAAAAAAGTTTCAGTGTCGTCTACTTTCATTGTCTATGTCTCCAACAAAGAAATGTCAACGTCATCGCTTATTTCGAGCGACTATACGCTACTTGAGCCTTTTACTCATTCCGCCATATTATATCTCCGCAGGGGCATCCGTTAAGAACTGCTACACATGCGTCGGAAACGCGGACGATCAGACCTGCGAGAAGGCCCCCGAGAAAGTGACTTCCGGCGCTCCGTACCTGCCCTGCAAGCGGAAGTACTGCACCGTCACCCGCCAGGAGTACACCGATAACCCAGGTACTGTGCCATTACCAGACAATACACCGATAACCAAGGTTCTGTGCCATTACCAGCCAATACACGATAACCCAGGTATTGTGCCATTACCAGACAGTACACCGATAACCCAAGTACTGTGCCATTACCAGACCATACATCGATTAGCCAGGTACTGTGCCATTACCAAACGATTCACCGATCACTAAGGTACTGTACTTACACTTCTAGGTACACTTAGGGCTAGTGCCAAGTCATTACCGGACATCGATAACTCAGTTTGTGTGCTGTCACCACCCACCAGACAATAAACCGATAACCCGGTACTTTATTGAACTATCGCCAGCTCAGATAGGTAATGAGCCATCACAAACCATCAATAACCCGATAATTCAATATGCTTCACTGCTGTGGTAAATTCGGTTTGCTGTGAACTGCAAAATTATCCCCCGACTGCGTGCTCCTGAAATATATTCCGAATATCATCGAATCAAGGTTATTGGTCATAGCTTTCGGAATAGACATGAATGCCTCGGCTTGGAACGATTATGACAAAAATAATAATATCAAGCACCGGGAACCCGTATATGATCAGCTGATGTGTCGTTTTGTGCACCGATTCTAAGCAAGCCTTCCAACCACGACTGACTCGAGCCCCCATTTCCAACAGGTGTTGTCGTTCAGATCACCAGGGGCTGCGAGAACTCGCTGCCTCACGCAGACGGCAAGGAGGTGAACGACGAGTTCACCATGTACTACTGGACCTGCACCAGCGACCTCTGCAACACAGGTAACCATCCCAGGCGTCGACACGTAGTAATCTGTTGAAAGGTCCAGAAAGTGGCGAAATGGTCGGTTTCAACAGTCGTTAGAAACACACAAAGGAAGTCTTTAACCACTTGCTGATATACTTCAGCAGGATTTATGGATGTATATAAATACTGAGGCATTTCCTGGAATGTTAGCCAATGAAAGAACCCAAATAGTGAAACCAGTCAGCAAGAAAGTACGCAGTAACAGCAACTTTCCACCAATCCCCACCATTCCCTACTGTCTGGCACTGCCAGGCATTACTGTCCCTATGGCTCCCCAGAGCTCCACATAAACAGTTGAGCTCCTGTGGAAGGTCACTTTTAGCCACGATGCGCAACTGGTAGTTGGGCAGCGAAGTCCTTTACTACGAGTAATTACTAGGTAAGGTTCTTGTGTTGTCAACTGCGCAGCTAGCATCGATCTTGTAGAGAGCTGTAACAAAGGTTGAATTAAATGAAGGCTGAAGGACAGCAGCGACCATGCTTTCTGTACCAAGCCCAGTCTACCAACAAAGAAGTTGGCTGACAAAAGGAAAAAAGCTGGCCGATCAAGAACAACCACTGCCGACGCGTGAATTATAAACGACGACCGTTCGCCGTTCGAGTGAGGCCATGGCCTCACCCGGTAGACACATGGTGTCTTACTAGCGTGATCGGCTCGGTTTGGCCATAGACAGACACTCCAGTGCTAACCGATGACGCTCCCCCCTTCCCAACGCCAGGTGACGGCACCAAGGCGCCAAACGGCGGCGGCGGCGGTGGCGGCGGGCTGCCCTACGTCCTGGTGGAGGGATACGACGGAGCCGCCGCGACGGGCGCAGCGGCCACCGTCACCGGACTGATGCTGCTGCTGCTGCACCAGCTGCAGTGAGGGAACAGCTGTTTCCACACCAGCTGAAGTGAGGGAACAGTTGCTACTGCCGGACCAGGTACAGTGAGGAAACTGATGCAGTGATGGAATTGCTGCACCAACCGCAGTAAAGGAGGAACTGCTGCTACATCAACTTCCATTTGATATCATGCAACGTTGCACGCAAGGGAAAACTTAACTTGCCGATTGTCCAGCTGTTGGAAATGCTGCAATATTAAACGGACGTATTACTTAGGGAAGTCTTTGAAATACTTGCATAATGTATGAACATGTGAAAATGACTACAAGCAGGACACCTATTAGTAACCGCAGAATAGAAATACACCAACCATGCCGATCTGAAGACCTCAGGTCTCGTTCCTGAACGGTGCTACGCTAAATGTTTCGGTGGAGACGTACGACGCGGAAGCAATGAAGATCCAAATAAATATTTATCAATGTGTGGCAATAACTAATACAACCGACATATTATTGATCAAAATGTATTTGTCCAAACCCTGGCTACCTGGCAGCGAAATGGCGCTGCTCGACATTTGGCCACGGACAGATCACAGGGCCAAAGCAATGGAGTCCAATATCCTAGATCTGGCGGAATCCGGAAAAAAAGTTTATCATCCGGACCCCAGGGACATTTTACTGGTCAGCAACAGTCTACAAACACCTGACAAAATTTGATGGCAGTTCATCAATCACACGCGCTCAAATGAGGTACCGTATGTCACCTGAAAGCCAGCGGCATTTGATAGCTAACACTAAAACAAACAATTTAAGAAATGAAACCTACCGTCAACCTTTGTATAAAACATTCGGGCCCTTCCACACAAGCGGGAAGCTTAAATGCTTCCTTCATTCTGGTACAAAATGTCAGAATTCCAAATAGTTCGACGTACGGACCTGTAGAAAACATCCTTCTGGTGGATATTAGGTACAATGAGAATGATCCCGGCTACTAGTATGAACTAAACAGAAATACGCCACACGTCCCCAAAAAGGCTGCACAGCGGCAGCGGATGCCCATCGGGACACTTCACTCACACTGGCGAGGTCGGCCATTCCCAGCGGCGGCAGGGCGCCGTGAACTGACCGTTTTAGCCGGGCGTCACCGTCAGCACAGCCCACTGTGCGCCAGACGTTACCGTCAGCAGGGCCCACCGTGCGCCGGGTGTCATTTGGCCGCCTTCTGCTCGGCTTCGGCCAGCTTCTTGTTGTAGTTGGCCAGTGTCACGTGGATACTCTCCGACGAGTACTTGCACTTGGGCGAGCCACACTTGCAAGTGAACATCTTGTACTTTACCATCCAGAACTTTTCACCATAGTCGAAACTGAAACCGTAAAGTCAGAGGTCACTTATAACTGCAAGTCACTGCCGTGAAAACACTCTTTGATAAGCCAAGCATTATAATTCGTTATCATACAGAGAAGTTATCATGACAAGTTACGTGCGGATCCACAACAGTTCTAATCTCAGCCTGCATTATAATTCGTTATCATACAGAGAAGTTAGCATGAGAAGTTACGTGCGGATCCACAACAGTTCTAATCTCAGCCTCTTGACCGAGAGCTGGTTTCACGTCCCCTCGATTAGTGAACCTGACTGACCATCGCCGACTTCAACTCTTCAGCCGACCCACTCCTTCCCCGGGTACCTATCACCTTAGCTCCCCAGCCCCCCTGCTCCTCGTCTCCAAGACTCACCCGAGCTCCTCGGCCGGCTCGACGTCGCGGCAGGCGAACAGAGCGATCCGCGGGAAGCGCACGTCCTGATGGTCGACGAACACCTTGACGGGCACCAGGTTGGGCTCGCAGCGGTGGTTGATGAAGCGGCTCACGTTGCCGTAGCGGCGCGCGTCCAGGCAGAACGTGTCGCCGTCACGGTTGTCCAGGTCGAAGAGGTACGAGTCGTCCTCGCGCTGGTCGGCCGCAGAGTCGGTGATTATTTCGCCGACGTACCTGTATGAATGGGTGGCACGGTATCAGACGGTGCACCCGGGACTTACACACAGCCGAGGCTCAGGTCAACGGCATCGCAGACCGCGGAGGTCATATGCAGGCCTCTCCGGGCGCCAGCTAGCCTAGTTAGAGGCTATGTGACACCAGGATGTGGTGATGATTGGGGCCAAGACCTTCGCAACAGTGTAATCACAAACACAGGATAGCGCCAATTCCTTATTATCGGAAGCAGGCGTTCCATTAAAGCAAATGCAAAACGGTCATTCGTTCCCCTTGAAGTTAATTTACCTACACGGAACAGCATAAACCAGTAAAACGCCTTTTGGGCGAAGAACGAGCGAGCGAGATAGTGAGCCCTGCACGTGCGGAAGGGCGAGAGGGTAATTCCAACGGGCTTGCGCAAAGCACCCTTCTAACCGGTCGCTAGCAGTATACCAAATTTGAACGCAATCGGCCCAGCCGTTCCTGAGATCTGGAAGCGGCATTCTGCACGTGCGCACGTGCAAACGGGGTCCAAACTGACTTTTGCACGGCACCCTACTAACTGGTCCCCAACCGTGTACCAAATTTGAGCGCAAACGGCCCAGCCGTTCTCGAGATCTGGAAGCGCCCCCTGCACGTGCGCACGTGCAGTAGCACCCTAACCGCAACACATGGGAATGCATTGCCTGGTGGGTGCCTACCTGTATGCCAAGTTTCAGCGAAATTGCCCCAGTAATTACCGAGTTATTAAAATGGGAACAAATTTGACACCTCTTATTGTTGTATTTTGCACGTGCACTGGGGGTGACCCACATGCATCGAGAGTACCCTATTTTTGGTAGAAGGGATGCTGCTACCCTACAAAAATTACCGCAAGTTAATCGCCTAAGCGGCTGCTGAGATATGAGTCTGTCAAAATCACTACTTTTGCAAAACAGCTTGAACACCCTTGACTTTTCACGTGGCACGTGCCACGACGGTCACTGAGATGTATCAAAAGTAGTCTATTACGGGGTAGAAGGGATGGGGCTACCCAGCAAAAAAGACCGCAGGCCAATCGGTCCAGCGGTTGCTGAGATATAAGGCTCTCAAAAGCGTTACAGGCCGGGCCGGGCCGGGCCGGGCCGGGCCGCTCATGCTGAGATTTTTCCGTTATATTGAAAAGACTCGCTTCGCTCGCTGCGCTCGCTCGCTCGTAACTAGAAATGACTAGCGCACCAGCACCTCGTGACAGCACAGAGTACCCCACCCATCCCAGCACCCTGGCCGCCCAGTCAGACTCACTCGCAGACGTAGGTGCCTTTGGGGATGTGTTTGAGGGCGCGCACACCCCAGCCCCGGTCCGTCGTGCGGTACATCTGCACGCGGCACGTGATGCCGTGTTGCACGGCCCGGTTGTTGCATGTCAGCTGGTTGCAGCCGCACGCCCGGTTACACTCGAAGATCATCGGTGGGTCTGTGCAGCAGAGGTGGGGAAAGGAGTCATTCAGTGATCAAATGGGACTTCCAAAAAGGAAAAGGGGAATCATCACTAAGCATATGGACCATATTACTCAGTGTGTCAACTTACGAGATTCTGGTTGAAACCTTGACACTTGACAGCCATCGATATTGATCCCATATTCCCTACAGCCTAGTAGCCGACTCGCTACACAGCCCACAGTTCGGGCACACCCTGCTAAGAGGCTGAGGGCCGAACCACAATAACTCACCAGTGTAGTTGAACTCTGGCAGCAGCCGTCCGTCGGGATCGTACCAGCAGCGCAGGCTGATCTGGCTGCACATACAGTCCGAGGAGATACAGTTGTCCACGCAGGCGCACGACTGGAGACACGGACACAGAGGGGCGGTCAGGGTCCGGTCACGGACCAGGCAATAAACGACACGGATCAGGCCACGTCGAATACAAGACCGACGTCCACACATATACCACATGACCCGCGGAATACTAAGGTAGACCGACACAGCCTGCAGATATAACGCTGACGTGAAGCATGCATATCAAGTCAATGACAGACGCGCTGAGACACTGACAAAATATGTCATCACACAAGATCCATACCAATGAAGCAAATACGCTAAAAACTAAGACACGTCCGGCAGAGGCTCAACTGAGCGACAGAGCCACAGTCAGCCCGACTCTCACCTGAAGACTGGTGATGGTGCGGTCGATGTTCAGCTTCATCGTCTCGCAGCTCTCGGCCACGTACACATAGTCGGAGGGCAGTGGCGAGTCGTCACAATCATTCACCGCCTGGATGGGCAGCTTCTCCTTGCCGCGGCTGACGTCGTTGCTCAGCACCCGCTCGCCGCGGCGGGCGCGGCTGCGCTCGGCCAACCGGCTCAGCTCCATGTTGAGCAGCAGCGCCAGGCGAGTGTCGGTGCGGTCCGGGCCGCAGCAGTCCAGTGGGACGCTCCCCTCGCGGTTCCTCAGGTAGAGGTTAGCGCCGTGCGCGAGCATCAGCAGCGTGCAGTGGTAGTGGCGCTGGCGGGCGGCGATGTGCAGCGGTGTGTCGCCGTGCACGTTGGGAGAGTTGACGTGGCAGCCGGCGGCCAGGAACAGTTCGGCAATCTCCATGGAGCCGGAGAAGGCGGCCCAGTGCAGGCCCGTGTTCTGCTCCTCGTCACACAGCTGCGGGTTGGCGCCGCGCTCCAGCAGGTACCTGACGGGCATCCCAGAGTGTCACTAAACGGCCCGCGGTCAGGGCTGTAACGCTTATCTGGCGGTAGCCAATAACGTAAGAAATAAACACGGGAGAAATTTAGCCTGAGCCTTTTGAATTGAAGAATTCACAAGGACAGAGCCCCGCTAAGCGAAGCTTGTTGCGGTGACCCTGCCCTCTACCCTCCGATCGCGCAATTCCAGTTCTATGGCAAAATTTTGAGTCCAAAGTTTAACGTGCCCACATAGCCGCGCACGGCCGGTCCCCTCACTGACTTCGCCTGGCTACGGCCTCCCACCAACCGTAACCATAGTCCACTGTCAGGAGGGCGGAGGCTCATAAACGTCAAGCGCCCGACATTACACTAATTGATCAAGATATTAAGTTTGTGGAGACTCAGTTCACAATCATCCTGTATCTGCGATGAGGACTCACTTGACCACGACTGGGTGTTTGTGCTCGGAGGCCCAGACGACGGGCGTCCAGCCACCGTCGTCTTGTCTGTTCACATAGCCTGTCTCTGTGCGACCGCTGGAGAGCAGGTAGTGGCAGCCCTCCAGGTTACCGGCCTGGGCCGCCAAGTGCAGCGGCGTCATACCGTCCTCGCCCTGCCCAGAGCACGGCGCATAACTCACGTCAATAGCACGGTCAAGAAAATACACAAGTATGTACACAACAGTCAGTATGTGCGAAATGATAGCACAGGAGATACAGTCTCGAGAGATGGACTATCAAGTGTAAATAAAACTTAGAAAATCACACGGCATACTGCGGTGCCACCCGCCGGCCCACGTACCTTGGCGTCCAGCGCGGCGCCGGCCGTCACCAGGTATTTCAGCACGCTGTTCTGGGCGCGCGCGGCAGCCACCATCAGAGGCGTCTGCAG